TCGACTGGCAGTTATTTCTCCACCATTCATTGCTTTCAACTGGGCCATTAAAAATATATCTTGTTCAGATCTAGAGAGAGCTTGAAATGCCTCACGTAATTCGGTAAACCCTTCTCTCGAAATCTTTTTTGAGCAACCGCAATTGCAACCTCCCTCCAAGAAACCCATGGCTTTTTCATATTCAGTTGAACCATTATAATTATAATTTTTCATATACGGGTATTCCTATATTATTATGCTTACGAAAAAATTTACGTCATTTGACGTTTTTAATTACAATTGTGTCAAAGCGGCAAAATATGATCGAGCAGTCTTATAAGTCTTTCGTTGACAGGTCGCTCAATCAGTGAAGGTGTTGGTGGAAGCTTTTACATTGAATTTATTTCCCTTATGTTTCTTCTAATTTTCGTTTCTTTCTTGGTTTATCATAAGTCGAGGTTAATGTTCGTTTATTGTTTATTATTTGTCGTTCTTCTTGATAGATTTCATAAGTAATTTTTTCTTTGTCTAGGTATTCCTGGAGAGTTTGGGTATCATTAATTTTAAAAACATATGGAGCAATCTTTTCTCCTTGAGCTTTTTTAGAATGCTTCTAATAGTGCTGTAATTCTTTGGTTCCATGGTGGATTTAATGTAAATTAGTTTCATATTAATATTTTTATATATAGAGGTAATCCTATATTACTCCTGTTATGGTTTATATTCATCACATTCTTAATCTGGTATAATAAAGTTAACATTAAAATTAACCAGTCCATGAGTTATGAATGAACACCATTATTACTTTTCAAAATGTCATCAGTCACACTGGTCAATTTTACAGTCACAATGGAATGTTCACTTTGTCTGGTTTTGTTGCAGTCTGCCCCATATAGTAGTGTTATAGACAACGTACCCTTTTTTTATTACAGAATTCGTTAATTGGTGGTCTAGCTTGCTCACACTTGAGACAATTCGGTTCATAAATAATGTTTCAATAACGGATTAACTTTAGTTTTTGTGTTACATTTGTGACTTAGACTGTGATCCCCCACATTCCCTATGTGTATGAGCATCAAAGATTGGATTAAAATTGGCCACGGTTTATACGTGTATTAAGACTTTCATAGTAATGTCAACATAAAAGTTAAGTTATTCTAAAAAAAAGATGCGTTATTATATTGGTTTATTCTGCTCACATACATTTAACATATTAGCTTGATGTAGGAATAATAACAGCACTAGAAATAGAATTCTGATCGTAAACGAAAAATACATATTAAGCCTTCTAAGCATTATGGTTTAGGCATGTATATACAGTTTAGTCACGTGAATTACAGCTGATCCAATTAGCATTAGACATTAGATCACAATCTATAAATAATGGCTTAAAATTATGTAATGGATCATCCATTCCAGAAAAAAAATGAGACCTTTGACCAAGTTCGTCTCAATAGCTCACGTTCACCGTTGGACACTTCAAGACGTAAAAGATTTTATCTTTTATGTCGAGAGACTTCAGTATGAGGAAACTCATTGCAAAAAAATAGACGAGCTTAACATCACTCAGATGTGTCTTTTGAGTTTATCGAAAGAGAAGTTGGATTGTTGGGTAAAACTTCAATGGATCAATCCGGCCCTAGCAGATATTTTGGAAAGCGCAAGTATAGACTTGAAAGGTAATACGATAGCACGAAAAGGCAGAGTTTAGAAATCTTTTGCCGCTTGCTTACCACGTTTACTCGATTTAGAAAGAATTATATTTCATGGTAAGGATGGATTGTTCGGCCAACTAACGCGACCGTTTAGCGAAATGTTTTCAGCTATATGAAATTTTCTCTGTCTAGTCACGATGTTATTGGAAAGAGCACGATTCCAAAAGTATCATGATACAATGATCAGCATGTTACATGATGACATTAGATTCGGTGTCGATATTATAGAACACGAATTCCAAGGAGACTTACGTGCATTTTGCTCCAGGGGTAACAGCGCAATGTATCTTACTTCGCGCTTGTTTAATTCTCTAACTAATATGCTTATCTAACATAGTATGTCGCCTAGGCTATCAAGTGAGTATCGAATAACCATAATTAATATGATACTAGTATTTACTGTATCTGACGCGTAAGTTGACAATTATTAGGGAGATGACTCTGATGAAGAACGCCATTATGGAAGATATCGGAGATCGCGTAAGAAAGAGATATCGCGTATCAATCTCAGAAAGGCCAGAATAACGCACTCAGAAGAAAGCTCCGAAAGCGCGTCCGAGACTTCTGAGAGCGAAATTGGAAGTGTGAGCAGCAGTGCAAAGAGCGTGAATTATGGGAATCGTGAAAGTATGGACTATAGTGGAAGTAGTTCGGAAGATAACCAGCAAGAGAGACGGGTGACGGATGAAATGACTGATAGCGGTAATGATGAGGGGATAGTAGTGGAGAGAGAGGGAATAGTGATGCAGATAGCCATTTTGATAGTGACAATTTCGCTGTAGATGACAATGACGCATCGGACAAGAATTACCGTCTGAAACGTCGACTAACAGAAACGACTACCACAAGAGTGACTAGACAGATGTCTATGAGAAGTGGTCGGGTTAAGGGTCGAAAAGGTCGTCCTAGAAGAGACGAAAGCAGAAATGGAAATTTGTCACATGTTGACACGAAAGCAACCACGAAGAAGAGTATTCCTGTTATTCACGTTTTTGCATTTAAAGGTGATCCTGTTCGATATTGTGTAAGAGATCAGATATGCGACATAGTTTTTCAACACAAGCGTGGACTAATTACGCGCGAGGATTGCCGGTAATTAACCTTTTAGTAGACATACGTTTTCCATCGTCATACGCGTAACTTGCTAACGTGCTCTTGCAGTAACTTCTTAGCACAAATCAACCAATGCCGGAAAGAATGTAATAAACGGATGAGAGAGATGCGTATTAAACATACAAGGATTTCAGATTCTGAGCGGAAGTTTATTATTTATACATTATCGTATGTTAATATTTTCTTGCCGTGGTTTTTCTGCACTTGCAATCACATTCAAAGATAGAATTAAAAGACTTGAACTACTAACTTGCATTAGTAATGAAAATTTCGTGAGGCCTTTCGCTGCCAATAAAAAATATATCTTGAATTCGAATGCAGTCAAAGTAGTCTTTCAGGCTGCCAAGAAATACCTCAGTAAAATAGACGTTAAGTACATCAGAAGAGAACACATTGAGGGCGAAGAATCAGTCAATAAACGGGATTGTGAACGGGACGATAGGCAGGCGAGTGACGGCGATGATGACATGGATGAAGAAGAAGACTATTATGATGACGACTTTGATGACGACGTGTAGCTTGACCCTGATTGGTGATAGGGTGTGATATTAATCTGTATTTTTAATTGAAGAGCAAATGTTATTTGAAGATTTAACATATTATAATATGCATTGAATTAAACTTTGGCTTCTTCGATAGGCTTCATGGCGGGAAACAGGAGAACCTATGGAAAGGGGATCATGTTAATGTTAAGAAAGTATAGGCTGTCCGCTCAGGCATATTTAAAGTATGTCCTACCTCTTTAATATTATTGCTATCAGTTAAGAACATTGTTAATCGATCTATACCCATGCCCCATCCACCGCTGTTAAGGCAATGTCAAAAATGAATTAGCGTAAAAATAATAAACAGCTGTCTGTTAATTGTAAACATTAAATACTTGCGTTGGTGGTAATCCATATTCCAAACTTGTACAGAACGTCTCATCAATCAGCTGAGCTTCATCATCACCCTGTTCTTTTTGTCTTGCTTGTTCTTCGAATCGATCCCTCTGATCGAAAGGATCATTCAATTCTGTATACGCGTTGCACAATTCCTTGGTTGCTATAAATAACTCAAAGCGTTCACATAATCCTGGAATATCCCGATGATTCTTCGCTAATGGGGACATCATTTGTGGATGACCAATTAAAAATGTTGGAGATATATAATTCACTTCAATAAAATCGCCTACTAGCTAAAAAAGTTTGCATTAAAATTCAAACCAGGTTAGGAATAAATTGTGCTGTTGTAATCCTCATCAACCATCTCGTTTTGTATCTTACTTTGTCAATTAGTCTTGCATTCGTTCGAGGCGCTGGACAGTCAACGTTATGCTTCACACATACTTCATTAAGGAATTTATTGGTCTCCTCTGTATGCAACTCCTTAGCTGGAGGGAATTGAACTCCCAATTTCTTCTCTAATTCTTCAATCATATTAATCCTCTTAAATGGAGGGGTGAAGTCAATGTCTAATGCTTCACCATCTGGGCCATGAGGATGATACTGGATTTTATATCCACCAGTTATCTCCTTAATCATACCCGAAAGCATAGATTCAGTCATCTCCATCAAGTCGTACATGTCTGCGTATGCCATATAGAATTCAACTGTGGTAAACTCAGGATTATGGGTTAAGTCAATTGACTCATTACGAAATTGTCTTCCTATTTCGTAGACCCTGTCTAAGCCACCAACTATGAGCTGTTTGAGATACAACTCGGGCGCTACGCGCATATACATATCTAGCTTTAAATCATTGTGATGGGTCTTAAAAGGCCGGGCAGTTGCTCCACCTGCAATCAAATTCATCATTGGAGTCTCAACCTAAAAAAGGTAGGAATATTCCACGTTAGACACCATGGAAAACGGTGCAATTGATTGTGTAGTCCAAAGCATTCAACCACTTGCCTCGAGGAAATCAAGTTGATCTAAATATTTTCTAACATAATTTACTATCTTGGCCCTAATAAAAAACTTATCTCGCACAGGATTATTCATAATCAGGTCTAAATAACGCTGTCGATAACGCGACTCTTGATCCTTAAATCCGTAATGTGCTTTGGGTAACATATGAAGACAAGGAGAGAGTAAAACTACATCCTTCGGAAAGATTGACAGCTCTCCACGCTTAGACTTTCCAGGACATCCCCAGGCGCCTACGATATCGCCTCGCCGCAAGATATCATGAACTTCAGCAAAATCACGCTCGGAATCTCTACATAACGATAGACACGTAATTAAGAACAGTACTACACGTGAAGAATGCGTTCGATATAACTTACTGCGCCTGTGCCATAATCTGAATTTTCACGCCATCTGCATGCAAATCATAAAACTTCAACTTCGCGCCGCTCGCTCTCTTGTTATGTATCCTTCCAGCGACTCGTACCAAGTCATTCAAGTGTTCACCCGCGTTTAGACTACCGTACTTTTGAATGAAGCTTGGTAATGAGATATCGACTTGGAACTTGTGCGGGTATGGAGTAGGATTCTTGCTTGCTCGTAACTCTTGAATCTTTCTGGAACGAATTTCGAAATATTGCTACGAGGAAAAACGTCGAGTAGACATGGGATCAGGACAGTCAACCAAAGAGCGTAATAGACGGATAAGAAGAACGTATATATGAACATCAACGATATGGGCACATAAATCAAATGCGCAGTAGATAAGTCGACAAGATCGCAGAAGATCATTTACGTACATTAGGATTAAGATTTTCTTCAGCGTCTTCCGCGTTAACAGTCTTCCCAGTTTCAGTGTGTGCGTTAGAGACTGCCGCTGCCTGCGTGGCCGTGATCAGAATATAAAGTGAACGGCTTAAAAATCAAATTAAATAACAGGAACGCAGCAGCTGTATTAATTATACCCTTCGCATACCTTCTTTGCTTTTTCTCTCGCCTTAATACGTCTCTTCAGTTCGCTAACAAGATACAAATAGCACGTTTATTCCAACGTCATAATACTATTAACTTGGACAGTATACTTCCACTTAGTTAGTCTATAAACACATTATCTATCTTGTTTACTTACTTCTTAGAAACCTTCTCTCCCGTATCCGCGTCTAATACTAAATTAGTATCGTTGGTGCTCATGGTTCTTGATAAATGGTTCTTTTCAATAATAAACGTTCGTGTCACTTCGTTAGTAAGAGATATCCCTAAAGGCTTTTGTTTAAATATTGATATTCCCTGTTCAAGACGCTGCAACAGGTATCGACGACAGAGTATCATAAACACTAAATTTTTGATTTATTTTCTATTTTTTTGAGGCTAGATGTAGATATTTTGTCCTACATGCTAACTTGAAAAAGGATGTACTTCACTGACTCACTTTTGCTCACACGAACGTGTAACAACTTTCATACGCAGTATGACCGCTTCAGCATTGCGTGAGAAGGCTTGTTTGATATGCATTGATGGTTGGGGTATCTGTCAGGATGAAAGCTCGCCAGGGGATGCCATTCGTCTTGCAAACACGCCGATAATGTCGGGTTTTGAGCAGAAGTATCCGTACACGCAACTCGCGGCGCACGGACTGGCGGTTGGATTGCCAGAAGGCCTTATGGGAAATTCTGAAGTCGGTCACTTGAATATTGGGGCAGGGAGAGTTGTCTATCAGGTGCTGCGACACGAGTGTCATAAAATTAGGCATCAAGGATTTGTCTGTTCGCGAGACGGGTTGCAAACTTTAGAAAAAACCAGGTTGGAGGGAGTTTGACTTGGCTGCTGATCATGTGGCTAATGTTAGTTGGTTTATAGGATATCGTAAGAATTGATCTGGCTGTTAAGCAGAAGAGATTTGGCGAGATTGAGAACATCGTGAAGTCATTAGATCATGCCAAGAACGGAACAGGAAGAATTCATTTCTTGGGATTGGAAAGTATCTATGCGATTTTAAGAATGTTATTACGTATGATCCTGACTTTCAATTGTTTTAATTGATATATTTTCTTAATAAGCCATGTTCATTTCTCTTATAATTTATCCCATCAGGTCTCCGACGGCGGCGTTCATAGTCATATTGAACATCTATTCCATCTTTTAGAGACTGCTAAGGCTCATGGTGTTCCAAACGCCTATATACATTTCTTTGGCGATGGACGTGATACCGATCCGAGGTCATCTGACAAATATTTAACTCAACTTCAGAAAAATATAGAGGAGTTAGGCTATGGGCAAATTGCTACAATAGTCGGACGGTACTACGCCATGGATAGGGATAAGCGATGGGAAAGACTTAAACTTGCTGTTGATGCCTTGGTGCAAGGTATTGGGGAAAAAACTGATGATCCGCTTAAGGTCTGTAGTAATGGAACGGGACGCTAGATAAGATGAACACTTAGTCTATCCTAGATGATTAACGTGTTTTTACGTGGTAACAGACAATCCATGAAAGATTTGCTGAAGGCGAAACCGATGAATTTTTGAAACCTATCATCGTAGCTGAGGAAGGGCGGATTCGCTGTACGCTAAATTGTTTATTTTGTTCTGTCTGTTCGGTGTAATATATACTTGCTAATTCTTTATATGTCATGGATCTTCTTGCAGCTGGCGATACCTTGTTCTTCTTTAATTTCCGCGCCGATAGGATGCGTCAGATAGTCCAGACACTGGGTATTTCGGCTCCTGCAGACATCCAAGTGCCTGACAACCTTGTAAGAGATTTGTTGTATCATGCGTGTTTTTAAACAAAATAATTTTCTAATAATTTGTATTTTCATTAGCATATTATCAGCATGACTAAGTACAAGACAGAGTTTCCGTTTCCTGTAGCTTTCCCATCGCAGAGCATGACCAATGTTTTGGCAGAGTGGCTTTCTAAGCATAAAATACCACAGTGTCATGTGGCTGGTATGTAAGAAACTAGTCATGATCATACTCGTTGTGACAAAGTTTGAATGGTTGCATATCAGTATATAAATTCCGGGACATCATATGATTCCGGCCTGAATTTGTATGATACCGGAATGTATACATGACATATATGATCCCTTTCTCAACGTATGCTTATGATTGCTTCTCATTATTCACACAAATTCTTGTATAGAAACTGAGAAATATGCGCACGTAACCTTTTTCTTCAACGGCGGCGTTGAAAAACAATTTGAACTTGAGCACCGAGACCTTATTCCATCTCCAAAAGTTGCAACTTATGATCTGATGCCGGAAATGTCTGCTAATGGAGTGGCTGAGAAAGTTGCTGAGGAGTTAGACAGCGGAAAGTACCCATTTGTAATGTGCAATTTTGCAAATCCGGATATGGTTGGACATACGGGCGTTTTGCCAGCCGCTATTAATGCCGTGGAGGCTACGGACAACGGCATTCAAGTTATATACGAGGCATGCAAGAGGAATGGATATATATTATTTATCACTGCTGATCATGGTAACGCTGAGCAGATGATTGGAGAGTCTGGTAACCCACATACTGCTCATACGTGTAATCCAGGTGAGTAGCTAGCCGCTTATGTTTACTAGTCAGTAACTGTCGAATATTGATGTATAATTCTTTCCTCTCTTCGTTAGTTCCTTTTGTTTTAACATCCCGAAAGTACTCTTTTAACGAGGAGGCTAAAGGAGCTTTGTGTGATGTCGCTCCTACAATTCTTGACGTTATGGGCTTGGAAATTCCTGAGGAAATGACTGGAACCTCTCTTATTAAACATTGATTTACTAAATAGAGACAATGGATAGATGAAACTGATTATAGAAGTAGTAGTGTTTATCGTTCCGGTTGTAATGATGTCACTTATGTAAACAGTAAATTGGAACACATCACCATTAACTTATTTACAAAGTCACTCCTTCCCAACCTTCTAAACTGTAGTATCTTCTAGCTACCAGAAATTGATTCCCAACCCCAGTTGAAGTCCTTTCTTAACTTTGTCAGTGGCAGTAGTGATGAGCGGTAAACAGAAATTGACCTCTAATCTAACAATGCTGCTGCGATATACAACGCCAACTCCGGCAGATATACTGGGTGTCTTTGTCAGCTGGTTGATGTTAGTTCGCAACCGGGCACCTGAATCATAAAGGATGTTGAGAGCTCAATTTTGTACGTGTGGATTCTATGACCATGTCTTTGAAACTTACGTTGATTGAGTTGTAACAAGTTTCCGCCGTTAACAAAAAAATGGCCTTTGACAGGATAATTGCCGAGTCTTGGCAGAGGCGTGAAGAGGCTTGCTCCTCCTGCTACGTATAAATCACCACCCAACGAGTCCTCTGAAGTTTTATAAATCATCGGAATATTTGACATTAACTTAAGGGGGGAAATTTTTCTCAATTAAATAGTATAGTACTCACTTTTATCCTCTCTAGGTCCTATTCCGTTTAGTCTAAATCCTCTTATTGACTGTGCTCCACCAAGGAAGAACCTATCACTTATTTTTGACCTTTGGCCATCCAATGGATATAGTAATCCGTTCCTTAATGATGCACTTAGAATCTATTTTATGAATTTTCTTGAGCTATTCTTGATAATAATATGTGCACAGATCACATGCAAATGCAGCTCTCGAGTCAAACATCTAACATATAGCAATGATTGGAAATTTTGTCTGACACTTACGAATCCTTTGCCCAAATGGAAATTTACTTGGCTCTCCAACTCATGCTTGAAAAAGTCCACATCTCCTCCGATACCGGCAAATTCCTGTTTTCATTCAATAAATTTTACATTAACAAATTATGATCACTGGCTGAAATCGTACAACTGCCGATTTCGCGGTTGTTAACTACCTGTGCAAGTTTCAAGTAATATCCTTTGGATGGTAGCATGACGTCGTCTCGCACGTCACGGGTAAATGTATTCGTTATTGATGATTTGAGTGAATGTCCAGCTGATTCCCGGATACTGTAAAGATTAATCATGCTCAGCATCGGTTATCTCTAATATATAAATAGCAAGGTTTATATGATTTACCTTAACGTTGCATTTTGCGCAATATTGGACACTTGTCTCCAAGTAATGCCATAACTTAGCTCATGCAGTCCAAGGCGGGATCGACCCTACAATATGAAGTTATACGCCGATCATATTTGTCATTGATAGTCTATCATACTTGTTATGTCTGCCTCTTAGCATCGACTTACTCGCCACCGGAGCGCGGCTCCTCGTAATATCTCATCGTGTGAACTGTAAATCTGATTATTTTTCGTCAAACTAAAAGCTGACGTATCAATCTTGTAGTCTGGATTGCCGTTTATTGGTTTAGCTAAACAAAACTAGTGAGTATGTTAATTAAAGAATACAACAGGGAGGAAATTTGCAAAAACATATTGAGGTGTACCTCAAATACGTGTGAAGTTTGCGTATTCGCAGACATGAACGCTTCCAGACTTTCTGCACCTCCGAAGACATTTCTAATATTAAGTGAAATATTCTAATCAAAATGAAAAAATGTTTAGACGATCACCAGATATAAGACATAGATCTAATAGGAATGAAGCGATCTAAATGATTCTTATGAAAAACGTGTTACGAACGGGACGAATTCAAATATACGTATGTATCAGCTTACCGCACTCCCAGCATCATTTCCAATCTCGGTTCCGGTCCGAATCCAATACCTTGGTTTTTCCTCGACTGCGATGACCATGTCAAGCGCCTCTGGTGGTGCAAACCCATCTTCGCAGGCATCTAAGAGCACGTCAACATATTTAAATATATCAAGCCTATTTAATTTATCAGCAGCTATCCGAACTTCATCAATAAGTTCGCCAAAAGTTCGCGCTTCAAACGTAGGGCTGATCACGGCTTTAAAGAGGGATTGACGAGTCTTTTTTGTCCCGAATATGCGACAGGAGTGTATATAAAATGGTTCGCTGCTGGAATCGTTAACCTTTTAAGAGTAAAAATTTAATCATTTGAAAAAATTAGCAGCGATCAAATCTATGTTGGGCCAAATCAAATGACTAGGATTGTTTAGAAATACGTTTTTCGGTAACTACAGCGCAGGACTTTAGCATAATAGAATTCAAAAGTTAACACACATACTAAATCTGCTAATTTTCTAGCAGCGGCCAAGTACTCTCGCATACGCTGTCTATCAGACTCGGGAAAAGTTTGCAGGTATTCCTCGGCTAATTCTTCGTTTTGACGAGACCTGAGTGGAAACTTCTTACATTAACAAATTCCTATTAATAAATTTAAACATAAAATCATAAGGCTTCATTTATGATCAATTACTGACTTCATCACTATCCATTGTTGAAAATAGTGTCTCGAGGGTTCAAAAAACTTCCCTTCAAGAAAAAATTCGGTTTATCCATCTGTACTCCTTATATCACGGGTTATGTTACACATCGTCACGGAAAGATTTCATACATAAAAAACGCCACGTAATTATATTAATATTAATATTATTTTCGACTATCAGGTCAAATGCGTAACTTGGCGATAAAAGGATAGTAAACGAGCAAGATATCTAACAAATACATACTCCTTAAAATGATTGCGTTGCCAGCCAAATATCAAAGATCAACCCTTTCTTGTCGTGTACTTCTTCGATTAAGGAATTATATTAATATCATTCGCTGTCGTTGGGCTATTGAATCTCACGCCGTAAACAAAGTTTGTTTGTTTTTTGCTAAAACAACTATTGGCAATACTGATACTTTATACTGATAACGGTAAATTCTGTTCCTCCAAAACGGGAGGTTTTATTATAAAGTACATATTATTTTGAGACATTGAAGCTCGCAGCTTAATCTACCGAGAATGCGCTGTGACTGCCCTTTAAAATTAGAAATTTAAAAGTGAAATATAATTAGAAGACATTATTGAATGAAAAATCTACCGCGGTTTTAGCTCTACGTGAGTTGCAGTGCTGCGATTGCCCTTTAAAATCAGATGTAATTAGAAATTTAAATGTTAAATACAATATGCCATTGTCGAATAAAGAACTTACTGATTCCTCGTTACGATCGACGACTGCTGTATCGAGGATTCTGGGTTGAAGTGTTACTAAAAAGAAACGTTATTTTAGCCCGAATAAACATTATGAATAATAAATTCGGTGTTTATTTTATTTAGTTTTACCTTGAATAGTAACCACAACTTTTGCTCGACCTTGGGTAGTCGACCAACGGGGGAAGGAAAAAACGTGGCCCCATTTAAGAAAAAAATTAGTGTAATCGAATAAATAAATAAATTGTTTATTTTTTAGAGCAAGACATCCCTCCTTACGTGCGGGAAAGTTTCTTGGGTATATCCTAAACATTGAATGAGCCGCTCTTCTAACCCACGACCATCGCGATCGGATCTGCCTCACAGTATTTAACCGTTGATAGAAGGCACGAGGAGCGTCCCGTCTTTCGTCGTCCCACTTCGGCAGGTCCCGCCAGCGCTAGAAGTCTTCAAGACGCCTCATGTATTCTTGACATCTCCGGTTTTCGTGACGGCACTCTTGCAAGTCATAGTATCTTAGGTCTGCCAGTGCGACCAAATATTAAAATATTACGAAACCTATGGGGGAAATATATACATCAATTAACAAAAAGATACTGGTAGCCATATTCTTGACCCGCAGGGATAATACCAGTTAGCTGACAGAGCGTTAAAAAAGAGCTTGATGCGACCAGCGCATAAAATATTGCTTCCATATATAGCTGCATCGCTCTGATTAACGTTGAAAACTTTTAGAGTAATTGAATCGCGAACCGCAAGCCTATTCTGATAAACCGTGGCTATGTAAAGTCCGTCAGGTGAGAACTTTGTAAGATAAGAACTGTGTTTATAAAAGTCACTAAACTCCATGTCGCTTGTAAAAAAGAAAAGATGAGCAATATTATTATAATAGTTAATATATTGATTGTGATAATGCACGCAACACGCACGACGCGTAACAATAATGGGGACATAAACAATTCAGGGATCTAAATCATGTAACTAGGCGACCCGCGTCGTTTGATCTGATAAGATGAAATTGGTCTAATATGATTCTTTTTTCTGGAATCAAGCCAGTTATAATAAGACTGAGCTCGATATAGTGATCTCGCGATTAACGTTATAACAATGTTGTGCGATTTATATAGAACCATGCTTAGCATTAGGCAAGCGATCTTTAATAGCGTAAATCATCACTATAATTGGTAATAATTTTAGCGTTCAGACAATCATATCAAGATTCGAATAAGACACCTTAGATTCTTTCTAAGAGATTAAAATAGGTTAATGTAATAACAGACATATTAATTTGCCTAACAGCGTTTGAATTTTACTTGGGAAAAGGTGATGCAAATATTAATATTAATATAATTACGTGGCGTTTTTTATGTATGAAATCTTTCCGTGACGATGTGTAACATAACGCGTGATATAAGGAGTACAGATGGATAAACCGAATTTTTTCTTGAAGGGAAGTTTTTTGAACCCTCGAGACACTATTT